TACTTCCTTTGTTTCAGTTGTTTGTATTTAATTGACTTCTAAGGAGTGTAAGAATTTTTTTATTTTTGGCTTAAAATCTTTATAAAATATTTGATGATCCATACTTTTAATATAAAAAAAAATCAAGAAATTTGAAATTGAAATATAGAAAAGTATAAATATGAGTGTTAAAAAAAGGCATAATTTTGAAATATCAAGTGAAAGAATAATGGATAAAGAAGATAAGAGGGAAAGAATATTAATGAAAGTGTGACTCTAACTACTTCTAAGTTCTAATTTTCTTGATTACAGTTATATATAATACAAAAAAAATGTAATATTAACCGATTGCATGTTGATTAGGGTGATATTTATGGTAAAAAATGTAATTAATTTATTGTTTATTTTTTAATTTGATGAGAATAATGCATTAATTTAATAATAATAATAATAATAATAATAAAGACTTAAGAGAGTGTTTTAATTTAATCAATACTTATATGCATCTATTAACCAAAGCCTTATCTAATAGCAATTAAGTAAAAATATTAACGGTGTTTTATTGTACACTAGATTAGTAACCTCATTTCACCGAGTGATTTTCTTTACATATTTATAAATTTTTATTCAATTAATTTTAAAATATAATTTAAAAGTTTAAAAATATTAAATAAGAATTATGCATTTAAATAAATTTTATTTTTTGTATATTAATTTTAATATATGTATATATATTCATATAAATAATATTTTATCAATTATGGAAATTAAATACAGCAAAATTATGTATTTATAAATTACATAATACAAACATATTTGAAAATTTAATTTATATTCATTTTTAAAAAGATTTATATTTTATTATATAGCTTAACATGTATTTTTAGTTATGGTATAAAAATATATTAATGTTTGTGTTATCAAATTCTTTTAACGAAAAAGAGCTTTCTTAATAAGTTTTTATCATTTAATTATTTAATAAATTATTATATTTAATTTTTTATTCTTACCCTTTATTCATAAATTTTATTGAGAAATTTATTTCATGCAAAAAAATTAAATAAGCAAAAGAAATTATATTAGTAAATATTTAATTTTTTTTTTTTGGATTTAATCCAAAATTTTGGGTACATTTACTACAAAACTACAAAATTTTTAAGTACAAATAGTAAATATAAAAAAGTTAATACATTATTCGTAATTGAGCCAATCCATTTTTTAGAAGTTTTGGACTTAAATCCTCGTCCCACCGATTCTCCTCAAAAGGATCAACTTCTCAAAACCTCATCTCAAAACTCATATTTAAAACTTTTTTGAAACAAAATGATCATCTTATAATATCATATAGCCGTCAACTATCTAAATCTTCAAGGATTCTTTTAATATAAAGTTATAGATGAATTGCTAATATTGATTTAATTAAATTTATAAATTATCTAAAAAAATTAAATTTATAAATTTGTTAATCTAATTAATATTTTAAGTAAATGATTTGGTTCTTGAAAAATTATAAGGGGAGATTAGTTTAATGTTATTTAACTCTTTTAATATTTTTAAATAAATCAATTATTTCGAATGGGTATTTGCCTGTTTGTTTATTGTATGCTTGAGACTTGGACTTGAGACTTGAGTATTGTAAAACAAGCCTAAACTTGAGAGTGATTTTCAACAATAAAGCTTAAACTTGTAAAGCAAGCCTCAATAATTCATTAAGAATTGAGATTGACATATATGAATACAGATCTTAGTTTGAAGGTTCCTTGATGACGACAAAATTGAGGCAGTTTCTCCAAGTGTGAGCAAGAATTCTCCTACCTGTCATCATCATGTAACATCAAGTGTCATTTTTTGTATGAAATTACAAGTACAAAAAATTATTATTATTATTCTTATTATTATTATATAAAAATTATTATTTAATCAAATAGATAAAGTAATAAAAAATAAAATCAATATAAATATAATACTAAATTCGAGATTTGAATGTGAAATCGCAAGGTTTCAAATGTTTTTTTCTTTACCACCAAAAGTCATGGTTTCATTGGCAAAATCAAATGCACTGCTAACTTGAGATATAATGAACATAATGTGTAACACACATATTTGACAAAGAAAGTGACAATTAATAAAAAAAAAAAAAAAAAATGCTCTCCACACCTAATTCATATTTGCTTTTTCCCTTGTCATGTACGGAACTTTCTAAACCCTTGTTTGTTTGCTTTTGGTAGAAGAAATTAAAACGCATTTATGTTTCCCGGTAACCATACCCCTTTGGACTTTCTGTCAGCCTTGACGAAGCGACGAAAATATTTAACAGGCATTGGCATGTGGCCTACATCAAATATACCTTATCCTAAGTAATCTCCTGCCTGTAGGAACTTCAAATCTGACCTTTCAATTGCAAGTGCTGTATTATTCTTTTCCATAACTTCAAAACTATTGTTAAAGAAAAACCAAATAGTGTTTGATAAATTTAATACGGAAATGCTATAAAATGTTAAAACTTATTTGATGGTATTTTATTTTTTTTATAAAAAATCAAACAATTAATTTTATTAAATTAAATTATAAATTTATACTAAAAAAAAGCTAAAGCAAAGAGATTTTTTTTGTTAATTAAAAATAAAAAATAAAAAATTGGAAAATTGAAATAATTAAAAAAATTAAAAAAATGAAAATGAAATAATATAATGTGTTGTAAATCAATGTAGTAATACAAAGCTTGCAATATAAAACTTGTAGTTGTTGAAGAACTTTTTTTTGGTCATCGGATTTGATCTTGCCTTCCAAATTTTGTGTCGAATCAAAGATAGAGCCTTCAATATAAAATGGAAATAGCTTTATGTTGCAAATATCATTTTCCTTAATTTATTTCAACTCTACTAATTATGATATGCAAAAGAAATGACCTAAATACTTTTAAGATATAATAAAGCCTTACTTGAAATAATTTTGCACTTTGCTTTTTTATTTTAAAGTAAATGGGAGGACGAAGAGAATGATTTCTAAATTTTCAAGACATTTCAAATGTGTTCTAGTCACCTCTATTAATAGAGATTGAATTTAAAAATTATAACCCTTTGATTGAGTTGTTTCAACCAAACACTATCCTCTTTTATTAAAAACAGACATTTATGAATAATTACAGGAGTAATTATTCATCTAAAAGATCATTTGGATGATTACAATTCATCTCAAAAGAAATCATTTTTTACTTTTCAAAAAATTACAATTTTCAATCAGATTATCGACTCCACCCACTTTTGGTGTGGTCGACTTTCCATTCGTAATTTCTAGTTCCAGAATGATATGTTAAACAAGGCAGACAACTGCTCCATTCGCCAGTTGACTTCCCTCATATTCTAGAATACTTCTAGCTAAAGGATAGTCGACTTCCTTACTCATGCTAGTCGACTATCTTGATCAAATTATGAAACAAAAGACTTTCCAACCCCAACAATCGATTGCCTTAGGGTAAGGAATCAACTAGATTGATTTCCAGCTATAATAATCCGTTGCCTTAAGGTAAATAGCTGCCTGCACCTTTATTATATTTAAACAAAATTGTACCGAAACTTTATACATTTCTAGAGTTCATGACAGCCGACTTGTGCACGACATTTGACTGCTCCTTTTACAAGTCTTCTCCTATTGATTCTTTTCACGTTTAGAATCAATTCCTTTAATTATGGAACTTCTTTAAGCTATTTAATAGCTTATCTTAGCTTTTCTTTGATAAAGATTACAAATTACTTAATCAATAATTTTTCTTATTTTAAAAATCATTCTAACGTAATCGTCTATTGAAGAGTAAAATAAAAACAAAAAATTTTCATTAAATATTTTTTTATTAAAGTTAGCATTTATTGAAGAAACTTTGATTTATAACTTCTTGTAAAATCTCAAATATATTTTACACATAAGTTAAAACTCTTAAAATTTTAGATAAATTCTTCTATAACTTTAACAAGCGCACACTTCTTAGAAAAGAATCTAGTTTGATAAAATCATTTAACTTTTATGAATTAATATAATTACAAATTATATTTAATAATATTATTTAATTCCGTTTTTAACAATATTAAACTATTTAATGCTGCTGATGGCCAAAAAAATTTAATACTACTTGGGATATATTTAAAATCATATTGAAAATTTAATAATATAATATTAATTAATAACATATTAAAATTATATTAATATGTATTATTTAAATTTATATCTAATATATTAATTAATATTTTAAAATTTTAAATTAAATAATATGATAATATTAAAGTATTATAATTTCATGTAATTTATATTTAATATTATATATTTTAAACTTTTTTTGTTAATATAAAATTATATGTTAATTTTGAAGTATTTAATTTTCAATTTAATATTATTTTTTATAAATCAATTAGTTTAATTGATAATTTTTATTATAAAAATAGAAATAATATTATATTGATATTTAGACACTATTCACTTAAGAATAATTAATGTCAGAAATGGAAGCTTGATTCTTTGAGAAAAGAAAACAATAAATTTTTTCTTCCAACAATATTTTTGAACATTTTTATTTTCATTTTCATATTTGAGAACATAATAACTTTAGCAAGCATGTTTTCTGTTGTTGTTCAAAAAAAAAAATGAAAACTAAAAAACAAAAATTATTCCAAATATACGAAGTTCACCAAATTTAAGTTGAAGGAAAGGTGACAGAATCAGCCTCCTTTCTTGGAGGGAGAAAATTAGAAAGAGATCGGGGTTGTTAATTTCTTCCTTGCGCAAGGATGTAATAAGCTATTGCTTTGAAAAAACAAAACAGAGATTCTTTGAGTATCAAAATTTTCATGATTAATAACTCAGTTGAGCTCAGTGCATTCCTACTCTTGTTATGTTGCATGATTTCCTTAACTTGTTGCTTTCTAGATATCATAAATAAATTCTTCTTCTTTTATTTATTAACTTTCTGTATAAATACAATCACAATGAAATCACACTAACCCCAAAACCCATGAATTCAAACCGAACAATTTCACACCAATTTCTACCTACCAACACACACCTCTCCTGACATGACATATATATTGCTGTCATTAAGCCCCCAAATTATTGCAAAGCTTAATTTCCACCAGACCAGACTTAGTAAGAATTGACATTTTTAATCTACCTTAATTTCAATGTCCATGTACGCGAAAGGCTTTTGGGCTCTCCTTCTGAGACTCAACATCGTCATATTCTTCTTCCAGTTCCAGGTCTTTTTCCTTTGTCAATGTTGAATACTCAACCTTTTCTCCATATAATTTAACCAAAAACAAATAGAGAGATATTGAAAACATGGTGACCGCTGTCAAGGCCCAGCTAAATTGAATATTTACTAATGATTTCGCTCGGTCCAGTGCCTCATCGCTTGAGCACCGAACCACCTGGTGACCATCTTCATCGTGGAGAAAGCAGCCTTTGGAAACCAACTCTGGAGTCCACAGCATGTATCCCGTGACTATGAGCCACACACCTTGATACAAAATACTGAGAGACCTTATGAAGCTGACAATGAAGCTCTTTGGAAGCCCAATTCCCATGAGGGTGGTGGCTAAAGAAACAATGACTGCACTCTGTAGAAGCAAGTGATATTGACCCTCAACTCCCATGTGATCAGTTGAATGAAGGTGGAAGAGAAGGAGCTGTTGGGCAAAGGCTACTGCTCCAAGAAACAGTGCTAAGCTATACTTAGCTTTGGGGCTAATTTTATCGAGGATTATAGCAAAAGCGGCATAAATAAAAAAAGTCATTGATATAGATGAGTGCTCAAAGTTACGGAGATGATTTGATGGAATGGTTCCATCAGGATCAAGGGGTTGGTGCCTTGCAGGGCCAATAAAGAGCTCCATGGATATGGAGATGGAAGAGGCTACCATGATCAGGAACAGCTCTAAGTACTTTAATTTGGATGTGGGGAACCATGAGGAAGACATGTAGGAATTTGGGTGGGCAGAATGGAGCTTGATATGATTAAAGAGATGCCAAAAACCAAGTACAAAGAAGGCAAAACCTGGTAAAACATGCCCTACTAAAGAACCCATGTCTTGCTAATCTGTAACCAATTCTTCTTACTTTTTTTTTTCCTTGGAGAAAGAGAGGAAAAAAGAAGACCTTTTTTAAATTTTGTAGGGAGAGAGTTTTGTGAACAAAATTGAGGCAAATGGCTTAAGGAGCTACTTTGAAGGGGTGGGTTGGGATGAGTTTCTAAGGACTCTAGTGCCTTCTACATATTGAGGGGTTTTGAAAGTTTGAGCAGCTGATGAGTTAAAGAATGAGATTAACTATTGACCTTATTTGGCTGTTTGCCTAAGAATTGAGCCTTTAGGTAGCAGCTAGATTTGTTCAGGGTCGGGCCAAACATAACATTAACAATTTAAATATTTGTCCAGCTCGGTCCGATCAACTATTCGAACCTTAAATTATGTTCAAATACGACTATGAATAAAAAATGCCACGGTTAATGCTAGCCTGTTCAAATAATTTTGTTTTTTTAAATCAAAATTGAAATAATAAACATCTCAAGTAATAAATCACATTAAAATCCAATACAGTAGCAAATTCCCAACAGTCCAACACTTAAAATGATAAACATTTCAAATAATGAGTAACAAAGACAAGATTAATTTTACCTTAAGGACCTAATGAAAGATTAAGTGTGAAAGCTAATAATTGTGTAATATATTAGTACAATACTGAATTTTTAGTCTTTTGAATTCAATCTTGATCACTTAAAAAAAAAAATTGAAAGATGGGTTATAAATCATGATCAACCAAGACCCAAGAAAAATGTAAAGCCGAGAGAGATGAAAGTGTGAGTGAGTGATAATGGTTTGCAAGGTTAGTTTGAAATTAAGGATATCGACGAGACGGATTTGAGGCCGATAAAGCATTTTTCAACTTCATCTTCTAAATTTAAATTAGTTTGTATCTCCGTTCTTGTCTTTGAATTTTTAATATGTCCCCATCCCCACAAAGATTAATGAGTATGATAATTTTCATACCCACGATTCTTTAAAAAAATTAAATAAACTTTTTAATATTTTTTTAAAATATGAAAATAAACACAAATATTCACAAACGTTAATGCAAATACAAATCTAAATTACAAATATTTACCAAATAGATACACTATCTCGGATGTCATGGCCATTCCATGTTCAGTTAGAAACATTAAAAGATTATGTGATTTTTTGGCTATATTATTCTTTTAAATCTCCTAAAATTATAAAGTAAATGTGATTTTTGTTATTATAGTTTTAATAAGACTACTTTTTTAAAATAAAAAATGCAGTGGACGTTCAAACTATATTTTTAAAATTCTATAATATTAATAAAGATCATATTTTTAAGATTAAAAATATAATAGATGTTGAAATTATATTTTCAAAATTTTTGAATTTTACCAAAAATCGTATTTTTAAAACAAAAAACATAATGAATGTTGAAATTTTGTTTTCAAAATTCTGGAATTTTAATAAATACCACTTTTTTTAGATAAAAAACATAATCTTTGTTATTACTCATAACAAAATTAAAATAAAATGTAAAATATCTTTATTTGATATTATTATATATAAAATCTAAAATACATTAATTTACTTAATGTTATTATATATCCATATCTTTTCTCTGCATATGGATAATTAACATTAAGATAGTAATTAAGATTGTCAGATTATTTTTGTTGAAAATATAAAAAAATTGTTTTTCAAAATTCTTTAGTTTCAACAAAAATAAAGTGTTATTCATGTGTTATGTGTTATTTACATATTAGTGTTATCAAATGTCACGTGTTATTCAAGCATCGTCAAGAACAATATAGTAAAAAATTTTATTAGATAATATTACATGCCTTTATACCAAATATAAAAATTTTACATTCCTTAAATTAATAAAACTTAGGAATTGTTAGCTCAAAGACTTGAAATAAACCAAGAGGGGGTAAATTGGTTGATAATAAAACTTTCTAAAATCAATATTTAATAAGCACAAATTCTACAAAACAATTTATCTAAGCAAATGAACACAATAAATGATAGTAAACTAACAACTTAAAAACAAGAGATAGAGATAGAGAATTAGACACCAAGATTTATAGAGGTTCGGTCCTTTCTTTAGGCACCTACATCCTCTTCCTTAGCCTTACTTGCTAAAGAGTTCAATCCACTATATGTTGAAAGTTATAACCTAGCTTCTTAAAGCTTTACACAATCAACACCACAAACTCTTAAGGGTTATCCTCCCCCTTAAGCTCACAATCTCATAATACAAAATTTTTAAAGTGTTATGCAAACTTAAAGAATCTCTTTAAGGTTGAGTGTTTGCTAGCTTGAAGTGCAAAGCAAAATAGACAAAAGAATTTAGAGAAAAACTTATACAAGAAGGATTTTCTGCACTTTTTTCTCTTTTGAACTGGTTTGAATGCTTGAACAAGATAGTTGGTAGAGGCAATAAGTTCTCTTAGCTTTTCATGCTCTTGATTAGTAGTGCAAGCCTTTATTTATATGTAAAAAGGAGTTGATAGTTGTTGCCTTGCATTTAATGCTTCAAACCTATAAAATATCAGACAAAAAAATAGTCGTTGGAGCTTTCTAGGCATCAGGGGATTGATCCCTTCATGTAGGGGATCGATTGGGTCAATTATAGAAAGGCTCAATTTTGTGCGAGAAAATGCTTACCTGATCAATCAGGTAACATACTTGATCGATCTAGTGCTTGGGTGATCAATCCCCTATATGAGGAGAGCGATCCCTTTTGTTGATTTTCAAACCCATTTTGCATTCTGTATAAAAAAATAGATCGATCCCTTTAAGGGAGGGATTGATCCCATGCTTAGGTGATCGATCCCCTATGTAGGGAGATCGACCCCTTTTATGGATTTTTAATCGAGTTTACATTTTGTGTAAAAAATATATAGATCCATTTAAGGGAAGGATCGATTGGGTAAGCTTAAAACCTTAACCAATCAATCCCTATAGGGAGTGGATTGATTGGTTCTTAATAAATTCCCACAACTTTAGCTACTGAAAGAAAAATGGATCGATCCCTTTGGTCAGGGGATCAATCCCTCCCCTTAGGGGATCGATCCCTCCCCTTAGGGGATCGATCCCTTCTATCCAAAACATGGCTTAATCCATTTTGTTTCAAGAATTTTCTTTGTTTTAGTTCCTAAATGAATTTTGGCAAAATAGAAGGCTGGAAAAATGTTTAATTTAAGATTAGAAGAGTTTGATTCAAGTTAGGCAAATTTTTGTTTTGTCAATTCAAAACTTTTAATCAATTTAAGGCTAACAATCTCTCCATTTTTTATATGACAAAACCAAGTGAAAATTTTGCTTAAAAACATTTTTCCAGTTGAAAAATAAGCTCCCTCTGAATTTAAGCATAAAGAAATTTTAAGAGATTTTAAAACAACTAAGAACAAAAACCATGTCAATATCATTAAGTGGGAATTTTTCATACCATTAAGATCATCAATCAAATAAAAAGTTTCTCATACCATCAAAATCATCAATCAAATAGAAAATTTTCAAACCATTTCCTTTCCCCCCTTTTTCTCATAGCAAAAAAGATGAAAGCAATCAAAAGGAGATAGCAATCAATTTAAGGCCATACCAACTCAATTTGACAATTTAAGTTCATACGAATCTCAATGTCAAGCAATATACCAATTTCACAAGCCAAATTTCAAAGTGATATAGAAAATATCATAATGAAAATGAAATATAGATTTCATTAATATAAACATCAAATAGCAAAGTTTGATAACAAACCATAATGCAAAATGTTTTTAAGGAAAAATTTACAACATAAAAAAAGATGTGGGAAAACATATGAGGAATTAGGATGGATCATTGATGAGGAGGTGGAGAATGAGGAAAATGCTACTCCATTTGCTGTTGTACAGACCAGATTTGTTCAATATTAGCTCTAACTTGACGAACTTGGGAAACTAGCTCATTTTGAGTCACTTCCATCTTTTTTAATCGAGAAAAGAACTAATAATATGATATATAGAAGGGATTGTGTAGAACTAATGACACATAGCTATTATGATTCTTATTAGCTTTTGATCAATGATAATTTATGATTTAACCAATTAAAGAAAAGATTTAACTTATATTATGCACATTACGTTTTATTATTAAATTATAAAGTTGAATAACTCCACATAAGCTAAGTGGGAAAATTTTAGACATTATGGCCAACGTGGCATTATCTAACATTAAGTAATATATTTTGTGTAGATACCCCATTTAGTCTAATATTTAATTTGTGTATAGAATTGAATTTTAGAATTTTAATATTTTGCTTTATTTATTCTATTGATTTAGTTTAAGATTATATATTTTATCAATTTATTGATTTATGGTATTTCAAAAAAAAAAAAGAAAAGAGTTTATCTGAGATTGAAAATTGATTTGGTGAAGGATTGAAATTTTAATTAGGATGATTTAATTGAAATTCAAATTGAAAAAAGGGAATATATTGGGGCTTATTTAGAGAAAAAGATAGAAGTAGACTTGGACTAGAAATCCAAGATTGAATTCAGCTATGAGAGGTGATTGAGAAATCTTATTCTAATTTGTTTAGGATTAGAAGTTTATTTAAAGATCCCATTAGCAATCACAACAATCAATCAAGAAAACTAAAAAAAAAAAAAAAAAGCAGAAAATTCTGAGGGTGCTTGCTAGTATAAAAGTTTATTTTTAAATTTGTTATGACTATATTTTGGAGTTGAAATTTGATCTTGAAAGGTGTTCAAAGGATTTAGGATTTTTTTTCTTTTATTGTTGCAATCTTTTTTGGAAAACTAGTGGGTTTTTTAATTATTCTAGTGACATTTTCAAGCCAAATTTGAATTTTTCGATGACTTTTTTGTTGGATTTTGCATTTATTTGTCAAAAACTAGGATTTGTTGTTTTTTTTTTTTTAGTCAGCATTAAAAATCATTTTAAAGAGAAAGAGAAGGATTTGAGGAGAAAAGAGAAAAAGAGGAAAAGAAAAGTGGAAAAAAAAGGAAAATTGGGTTTTATATTTTTCCCTATACAGTGTTGTTTTAAGATTAAACAACTTAAGGGATTCGTGCGTTTTACCATATTCTTAACCCAATTCAATTGCAATTCACCTGCTAACCCACATTCCATTATTACAAGCTGAGCCACTTATTGAGCTAAGCCGAATGGGTTTAAGTTTAGGGTTTAAGGGTTTGGTTTTGGGGTTTGGGGTTTAAGTTTAGGGTTTAATGGGTTTGCATGAATAATGCATGTGATAAAAACAAATAAACATGGTATCAATGCAAAATGTAACATTTAATGCAAGAAATGGGACTACACTTCACAAACACTTAAGGGACATTCACAAACACTTCATAAACTTACTATGCATGCAAAAACCTTACTAAAAGAAAATCAAAATTCCAAAGGACATGGGAAGAACCAAGGTTCGACCAAACCATGGATAAGGCTAAACAAAAACCTTTATGGCCATTTAAGCATTCCTTGTGTTGACCAAACATGTGGGACTATGTATCCACCATTTTCATTCCATACAAACACATGAAAATAAGGTTAAATCCCATTAAAAAAATTCACTCATTCAATATGTTTACCCTTTGAAAGTTTTATCAAACATATAGAAAACATGAAAATCTAATTAGAAACAAAAACATACAAGCAAGAAATGTTAACTTATTGGCCAAGAAACAAGTTGGAAGTCTCAGCCAAGCAATGAGGATGCTAGCCCGAGAGCTTCCCATGGCCCATCCATAAAGATTCCCTCATTTTCTTTAACTAAAACATGCATTAAACAGTTAGAAAACTACCTTGTAAAGGTATTTTATTATCAAAAGATTTTCATCAAACATGTGAGAAACTATCAAGAAGGAAAATGCCAAAAACATTCATGCATGCCAAACAACCAACATAGCTCACAAGGTAGTAGACTATCATGAAAATAACCATCAATACAACCACAATCACAACGTAATACACCAATCTAAGCAAGTAAAACACAAGAAGCAATTAAGGAAATGTTCGGGCAAGCTATGGAAAAAATGGGCTGATATTTCAAGGTGAATTTATGGTTGATTTTTTATTCTTTTTACTTTAAACCATACCATTGATTTGATTGGTTGAATTTATTGAATCAAAGATAGAAATATGGAAGAGAACAACTATAAAAAGAGTTGTTTCTTCTTGAAAAATCATAAAATTAAAAGAAAACTATATGAATGAATATAGAATTTGCATGAAAATATAAGGAAGTAGCATGTGAGTTATACCTTCCAAGCTCCCTTGTTTTTTTTTTTTTTTCCCTTTTTGGTGTTTTTCATGCCACTTTCTCCTTGCTGCCCTCCTCTCCATTTCTACCCCATTATGATGAATTTAAAGGCCATGCAAATGTCTCTCAACCCCTTGATCAATTCTCTATTTGAAGGCTAGCATAATCATTCCTTTTTTGCTCAAGCCTAATTATCAAGCAACCACCTTTGACCTTAAGATTTAAACCCTTGAAAGATTAATGGCTTAGAATAGAAACAGTACAAAATTAGACCTTTAGTGCCACTATTTTGAAGGGAAAAACCTATTTTGCCAGATTAGTATTTTTAGCCCTTTTGCATAATTTTCTTAAAGGCCTATGATCCCATCTTTGTTTTTGTGATTTTAATGCACCACAAATTATAAAATAATATCTAATCATGAATTGGAGCTTTTCGTGAAAAACTGATCTTGAAAATGTTAAATTATGAAAATACCCATAAAGAGTATTTTGGTAATTTTAACCCTTTGAGGTATGATCAAGGTTGTCAATATATAAAAAATTATAAAATAATATCAAAACATGATCTAAAACTTTTTACGAAAAATTGACCTTGAGAAGGTTGAATTACGAAAATATCCTTAAAGAATATTTTGATAATTTTAGTCATTTTAAGGTGCGATCAAGTTTTCTAATACACTAAAATTCATGAAATATTATCAAAAGATGATCTAAAGTTTTTCACAAAAAACTTATTCAAAAAAGTCAAATTACGAAAATACTACTATAGGTATTTTGGTAATTTACCCCTCCTAAGGTGTAATCATGGCTTTCAGTGCATCATCAATTCGACTCAATCCACGATTTGTCAGTTTGATATTTGACTACTTGGTAGAGGAACAGAATGTTAGGGATATTTTCAGTTCAAAGAGCATTTTGGTCATCTTCCCTTACTATAGGCTGCCAATAGACAATTAGGAATATTTTGAACTTCTGGATCAATTTGAAGTCATGGTACCAAATCAACTCAACCATTTCATCAATCCATCCAATGGGCCTCCTTCAACGTTGACTTTTCATCCTTTGAATGAACGATCATTATCTAGGGCAGTTCGACTTTACAAGTCATTCTTGATTGTGAGACTGACCCCAGGTAGCTTAAGCTAACCAAAAACCTTCACCTTTTAATTATAAATAAAAATATCCAAGTATCATTCAATTTATCTAAAAACCTTATATTCTCATGCTTTCTCCATTTTCCTTTTTATTTTCCTTTTTAGCCGATATCTGACTTGAGCTTCAGAACATAAACGCTGAGAATGCCCGTAGTCTTTATTCCTAACCGTTATTTTTCTTTTTTGTTTGTGATTTCAGGGTTTTGCTGCTTCAAGTTTAGCTTTACACAAACAATTTTGATGTGATTTTCATTATTTCAAAATTTTCTAATTTTTTGTGTTTCCATTTTTTTCTTCTTTTATTTTTTGACTTAAAAAAATAAATAAAACTAAAAAAATAATAATAAAAAAAAGAATAGAAAAAATAAAATAACTAAAAAACCAAATAGTACAAGGGTTTTTTTACATGTTAGGCTCCAAGCCCAATCACAAAAGTAGACAATCCAAAATAACCATTGTGAAGTCCAATCGAGTAATCCAAAAATCAATCACGAAGCCCAAAGATAAATATCGAAATCCAAGAAATTGAATTTTAAATTCGGTTTAGTAAAAGTTTTATTATCAAGGCTACTTATGTACTTTTCATGCAAAACTCGTGCATGCCTACACCGTTACACCGTATAAAGCTTATGTTAGTGAGACATTGATTCAATAACAAGTTTGAAAGTCTTAAAATCTTAAGGATATATGTTCAAAAGTAATTGTATATAGGTTTGATTTAATTTTATATTAAATTTGTTAAGTTATATTTTTAATTAATTAATTAATTAAATTATTTAATAATTTTTCTATATATAAATATAATATGTAATTATAATTATCATTATAATAAAATAAAAATTATATAATATATATTGTAGATAGGATCCAAATCTAATTTATAGTATTCTTGTTTTTAAATCTCAAGCTGTCTTTAGCAAAAGAAAAAATATTGAGACATTTTGAAGTTCAAGGTCAATCCATCATATTGCACTAAAATAAAGGTTTGGTGGGTGGTGAAAGAACATAAAGTCTAGCAGGTTCTTTGTATTTATTTGCTGGATCCTTAAAAAGTCATCATTCAACATTCAACATTCTTGAGTCATTAAAATGAAATAGAAAACGTAATGAAAGTACCTGTAAAATTTAGGCAGCTGTACCGATTAGCTATTACTACCATTCAAAGTTCAAAGTCCAAACTTCACACGTCGGGAAGTTTGAGGAGTGAGCATTGTTTGTACGGAGTTTTGCATTAATTGAAATTACCGATTTTAAATTAATGATAAAATATTGTCTTTAAAAAAACATATTTTGATTTTAGGTGTTTTGCGAGTGCTTAACTCATAGACGTCTCACGTGTGGACGTCTCGGATAAGTCTCACCTAAAGTGAAGTCCAACGATTTGTATTGGGTAAATTTCCCACATCTGAAAATTGGTATGTATAAATTTATACGAGATTTGATGCTAATTTAAATCATAAATTAGTGATGTGTCTTATTCCAAAAATATAAAATCCTACAAAAATCTAAAAATTTGTAAATCATGTACAGCTAAATATATTTTATTAATAATAATAACTTAATAAGTACGAACAAATCACACCAACTAAGAAAGAGATTATTAGATCAGAAATGGAAAACACGATTTAATCCAACCAAAAAACGCCTAAACTTGAAGGGAAAAACAAGCAAAAGAGTTCCAGAAAAAGCATCAATAATGCATCACATAACAATTATACTCAACAACTGCATCCCCAGTGGTAGGATCAAACCTGTGAGTTCTGGCTTGAACATAGCCTCTAGCAAACCTGAAAAGCCCACTTCCTCCAATCACTGGCATCTCCCTCATTTTTGGAAACACAGTGTTCCTCCCTAGTACTGTTATGGTACTTCCATTGTATTTTCCTTCCATGAAAGCAAAATTCATGGCCATTAACAACCCAACTTCTTGCTGGGATGCTGAGGCGTAAAACCCTTGTGCCCTGCCCACCATTTTTGAGCTTAATTGAGGTCCCAGGGTTAAGGGGTCGTCGATTACACTGATCATTCCAAAAGCTGTTGATGAATTGCTTGACGGTGGAACTACTGGGACTGCTGTTGGGTTGCGCCCTCCAAGAATGTCATGCCAATACAGCCTGAAGTGGCTAAGCTTTTCCTTCTTCAGCCCCAAAAGCTTCCTGTCCACGGTTCTCACAAAGCTCTCATCATCCGCTGTAGCAAAAATAATGAAAAAGCAAAAGATGAATTGGAAGGCTAGGGTTAGACAAACTCTAGCCATGGGAAACTAAATTTCAATACGCTCTGTAAAATGGAGTATAAGCAGGGCTTTTCCTGTTTTCTACACTTAAAGCTTATTTATATAGTAATTAAGCAGTCGTCCGGAACTACATTTTTAGTTACCAAACCAAAAAGGCTTGGTAGGAGTAGGGGGGAATTAGAAAATGGGCTATTGGACCAGAAATTATTTGAGTCAACTGTCAGAGTAAAAAATATTTATTAAAAAGTAAACAAATTTAAATAGTATTTAAGTAGGAGATTATTAGTGCTATTTTACCCTTATTTTCACGGTTTTATTTTCTTAACCCTAATAAGTCTTATCTAGTCGGTAATCCAGGTCCCAAACTCTAGTTGCCCTTTTAGAAAAGTCCTTGGTTCGATTAAGAAATGGCAAGCCAAGCATGCCCCGTAGGACTTGAGATCAAAACAAAGTCAATAAAGGAAGCATCCCATAGTTGCAAATATTTTACTGTTTTATACCAAGGCTCTGCATGTATAAATCATTTGCATCAAAAGTTTTCTTGATCTTCTTCTTTTTCCTAACAATCAAACCTGTATACAAAAAACTCATGGGCACAAGAGCAACTAGAACATGAGTGAAAATAACAAGAGACGAGGTGCGCCCTGTTCTTATAATCAATTCTCATGCATTTCAAATGCAATTGCAATGCTTTTAGAATTTGTTGATGCTAAGGTACTATAAGTTAATGAACGAAATGCGTTGTGATTAATGCATAATTGTGGAATTGAAACCTTAAGATTTATAAACAATTAAATTTGTGATTAAAGTTGTAATCTTCAATGACCTTTATGCCAAGTTTTCTGAGGAGGGCAAAATTTTGAAAATACAAGAGAGAAAAAGAGTGATTATCGATAAAGACTGGGGATGATCCCGATATTTGTACTTTGATGCACAAGTCAGAGATCAATCTAAGAAAGGGAAAGATAAAAGATTGGAATAAATGCTTAAAAATTTAAGAGTTCAAGATGGATTAGAGATACTTGGATAAGGTTATTTATACATGTGTTGGGGAGTTTTAGGCCCAGGCTACTTGCGGTCAACCTAAGGGATTAGGGCTAACCTCGTAGTCTCGAGTTGAGCTGGAGGTCGATTGTCCATTCAAGGCACGGTAAGTGAACATTTTGGGGCACTAATTTGTAGGTTATTGAGGTGGTTGAACTGATGTGAGATCTAAGAATTCAACTAGGCCTAACACAGCTCGATCAAAATTATCACAATACCTCTGCTTAGTAGTTGATTTTTTGAATTATGGCTAAGAATGTGAAGGGTTATCCTTAGTAACCATTATGGTGACGTGACTTAATCTTGAGTGTTTATTTGATTTGAGATTTAGCTATATGAGGAGACCTCTAGGGTCTCATTTTCTTACTACCCAAACTTCTAAGCTCCCAAGCCGACCAATTTTTACCAACCTTAAAATCTTCTACCCGTTTTCTTTTCAACCTTTTCTTTTTAAACTCTTAGATATGTTTTTTTTCTTTTTCATTATGTTTCTTATTCTAGCATGTCTAACAACTTTCGGGTTGAAATAAGGGGAGGTTTCGAACGATTAAGTCCTCTGTGTTATTGTAGGAAGGAACTATCGTTGAGCTACCTACTACTTAAATCCAATGTCTGTTACGATCCAAAAATAATAGGGTAAAGGGTTTATCATAGGATGGATGAGCTTTTGGCAGTAATTAATTGTAACCTTCAAAACCTTTTAGTCCCAATAACTATGGTCAATTCAACTTCTTCATTCAGCCTTCTTTCTACTTCCTTTGCTCCCCCTCCAAGTAATCCAAATCTTTATTACCTTTTTTTTTACCAACCTACCAATAATTCAAACTTTGAATCCAAGATGTCTTCTAACTCTTTTTAACTTTTTTTCCTCTAACCTAGTAGAGGTCTCAACACTATTCAAGCTCAAAAGCCTATTCGTTTTTCAGAAGCCGAGCAGCTTGGCGATGAGGCTTTTGAAACTGAGTAGGTGATGAGGAAATAAAGGTAAAAGGGAAGTAAAGGTTGTCGACGATGATAATGATGAAGACTTTACCTTTTTTTACCCCCTGCCATTTAGGTATAACCTCTAATGAGGTGATGAGGAGCTCAAAAGGTAAAGTCAATCTTAAAGACTACCCCTACTTATGCATCACATCGTTATGGTGAAAATCAAATTTGATTTTCCCTAGAAAAGGGTATAGTATCATGATATCGACCTCAAATGATAAGGTCACCACTTTTTTAGAGTCTAAGAAGGTTTGGGTATATTAGGACTCTATAGTGGCCGGTCTCAGATATCTTTTGCATTTTTTTATTATAAAGCTTTTTTTATCTTACAATTTAATTATCACTTAACTTGCCCTAAATTCTTTTAGGTATATAGTAAGATTCATTATGCTTTGTAAAGAATTAGGTTTTTTTTTTTTATCTTTTTCTTTGAGAAATTTTTTGAGGTGACCAAGTATCTTCATGATAAAAGCTAATGAACTATGATAGCTCAACCTTTGAAAAGGATTTTTGCCAACTACGCAAGCGTAATAAAGACCTAGAAGGTCCTCTTCCTTTGTATAAAAAAGTTAAGGGAGTTTAGGAAATTAATAATGGTTAGAGCATTTTTTAAGAAGCTGAGATCGGGCCCTTAACCACAGATGAGCTCAGTGCTTAGAATACAATAAATGACTTTTTCAAAAGAGGAAAGTTAGTAATTAATGCTTATAAGCTGACCTCTCTTAATGTTATTAAGGAGGTCAAGTACTAGGTAGGTGTTTACTAACTTTTTATATTAAGTTTGCTTTTGTTAATTTTGTTAGTTTGTTTTTGTTAATTTTATTACTAACTTTTGGTTTGGTTTGGTTTTGCAACATGGTAGGTCGAGGTGCAAGCAGTTTTGATATTTCTTGCTTCATACAACCTCATAGTGGGAGAGGATAGGGTAAGGTCCCTTTTTAGTTCGATGCTCTTCTAAGAGAATATAAATAATTGACCCACTACCTCTTCAACAAGGTGAGGTCGATGGCAAAAGCCTAGTGACATTCTAGAAACTGAAGTAGAAAAGTATGGCTCAGAGGCCTAAAAAAAGCTAAGGGTAGAGTCTTTTTCTATGAGCTTGTAGTTGAACTCTAGCCCTCACTAAAAAAGGTCTCAATCAATGTAGAGTTTGACTCCTCAAAAAATGCCTATGAGGTAAAGAAGATCATACGGGTCACCATGCACAAAAAAAGGTTTATCTTTCTATGAGTTTAATTCAATTTATAAACTATTATTGTTTTATTTGGTTATAACTAAGCTTTGGTTTTTGTTTATAGGTTTTGATTGACTCTCGACCTTTGTTTCTTAAAAAATAGATAAGGCCTAATGCATTGCTATCGAACTCTCGTTCACTACTACAAAATCAAGTAAGACATTGAGACCTATGCTCATGACCTTAATTTCTTCACTAAAGCAATGAAAAAGGTTAATGTCTCTAACATTGAGTTCAAGAAGACCAATGAAAAACTTGGCAAAAAGCCTAAAGACTTGAGTCAAAGGCTTGAGGATATGTCAGTGTAAAAAGCCATAGCTGAGTCCCTTTAGTAATAATTCAACTTCAAGTTGAGCAAGAAGTTGGTCGAAGTGGAGAGGTTGAAAAGTAAGCTTATTACTGTGAAATAGACCAAGAAACAAGTTATTGAGAACTTTCTTAAGTTGATGAGTTCTATAACATGTAGACTGACTTTGCTAAGGACCAGGTTTTCAGTTCTTTCAACTTAGCTTTGAAGGAGGTGAAATTTTTTTATACTAATATGGACGTATCATCAATAGCATAAACAATTTAAGGTCCCAATAAGTTGCAACATCAATAAAAAAAGTCCAAGATGTGGAAGACTTGAAATTGAGGCCACTTTGTATGCTGCTTTTAATGTTAAGGCTGAGCAGGATGGGGAACCTTAGGTGAAGCCTAAGCTGGTGAGCCCCAGAAACTAGCTTTAGAGGAACAACTCAAGGAAAAGGTTTAGGGTAGCTTTATTTTATTTTTATTTTTGTAATTTTTTGACCTAACCTTGTACATATAATATTTATTAATGAAAGAAGATTTGGTTTTTTACAATCTCTTAGCTTGGCTTTTCTTTATGTACTATTAGCTTAAATTAGCTTAGTAACATGTACTTTGTAACAAAAAATTTTCCTAAGTTTTAACTCAATAATTGGAATTAAGAAAGAGGTAAATAACTAAAAGCAACTTCAAATAATTTCAAATAATTCCAAAATGTTGGCTTAATGATGAATCTTCTCTCGGACTTGAATTCCAAATAATTTGCCAAAATTATTCAAACTCTAAGATTGATTATTAAAATTTTACTAGTTATGATGGGACACTTTAGAGTTTTAAAAACTTTTCTAAGTATAACCTCAACATTATTAATTGATGATTGAGTATTAGCTCAAATGCCTTAGAACATAAGAATCTTCACTTATAATTTGTGCCAAATCTTAGATCAACCTTTAAACTTATTATTATTTGAGCTCAAACATGAAACATTTAAATGTTAATGTAATTGTCACTTTAGACTTAATATAAATAATTAAAAGGATAAAATATATCCAAATTTCAAGCTTTTTATTCAGTTCAGGGCTAGGTAGTACAAGTATGGTTACAAAACTTGCTTGACTCAAGAGCCTTTACTGATAATAAAATTTTAAAGTATCCAAATTATGTCCTAATAATGGGATTTTCACTCAAGTCTTGCAGTTTACAATGTAGGGACCTTTCAAATTCATGGCTAACATTTCTTGGTTATCGGCCCTAGAAGCTTACACTTTTTTTAATATTAGGTCACCCCTTTTTATACTTTTTGTTGGATCTTTATTTTATAATAATTAGAGACTTTTAGTTAATATGTTGCTATCCTTGTCAGAGCAACATCTCTTTGCTCCTCAGTCAAATCTAGATTGGCTTTTAAGGTTTTGTCATTCCTTTCTTCAGAATTGAGCTTGACTCAAAAGCTAGGGAGACCAATCTTAATTGGTACCACAGCTTTAATTCTAAAAGCCAA